TGGACAGAGAAATGGGTCTGTAATCATTAAATGTTTTGGGGTTATCCTTTTTTGGGATAAGGCTAATAAAAGTGCTGCCATAGGATTTTGGTACAGGGATCCCCAAGAAGAATTCCTGTGAGGCACTGATGACATCAGTTTTGATTAGATTCCAAGTGGACCTGAAAAAATTTCCATTGTAACCATCCGGACCAGGTGCACTACCTGGATCCAAACCCCAAATAGCTTCTTTTATTTCCTCCTCATGGGGAATTTCCTCCTCATGGAGGGTTGAATGAAGTCCAGGATAGTCTGAGGTTGAGTATGTGTAGGACATCCAAAAAGTTTCTTGTAGTGATTAACAACAATTTCCTTAATCTCCCTCATGTTTGAGATCTCTCTCCCTTCACTGTTAATGATAATTCTAATCTTGTTATTGGCTCTTCTGCTTTTAACATAACCATGAAAAAATTTGGAGTTGCAATCCCCATCAGTGTACCATTTGAGATTTGCCTTTTGCCTCCAAAATAGATATTCTTGATTGGTGGCTTTGATGAGCATGGCTTTGGCCTTATTGTCATCAGATCTGTTGATAGGAGAGGGGTCGTTCTGATACTTATCTTGTGCTCTCTGAGCTTCATCCTCAGCCATCTTGAGATTGTCAAATATATTACCAAAAACTTCATTGTTCCATTGAATGAGAGCTTTTTTTAGTCTTTTGAGTTTAATGCTGTAGGGAAACGAGGCTTGGATAACGCAGCGGAAAACAAAAATTTATAGTCCAAAACTCGATTCCACCCAAGAACAACTTACGTAAATTACTAGCTATAGTAAGAAATTTACCTTAACGGTGAAAACGGAGAACGGGGGAACGATCGGGGATGGTTTTGAGGAGATGAACGTAGCGCCAAACGTATGTAGCCTCCAACGTATCCACACGAACTTGCTCCGGAGTCCAAGATTAAACTTGTGCTAGCAAGTTTAATACAAGATAGTAAAAACTATAATAATACTACTTTGGGAGTAATAAATATATAGTAAAATATTTATCTTATAAATATTTGTTTATAATATTTTGTATATATTTCTAACACTTTAGAAAAATAACTTTGAACACAAAATAAAATTTTCTTCTCTTTTCCTTGTGATGGCCGAATATCACTTATGAAATGGGGTGGGATTTATTTCATTTTATAACACATTAATTAATGTAAGATGCCATGAAGCTTCCTTGAGACATTAAGTTGTGATAATGAATTAATCAAAATGCAATGTCTCTAACCACCATAACAAAACAAAATAGAATCCCTACATCAAATAATAATCAAATATATCAATTTGACATTAAAAATACTTTATGTATAAAATCAAAATGGTCTTGGATTTTTCCT